GCTAGCTCTTTCCAGGTGAGGTGGCTATCAATATGGTGTATCGGTTAGAATACAGGAAGAGGCTAGATGCATCCTTTGACATAGATCTAGGGTTGTCACGGTAACCGGTGTAGCGGTAAACCCCGGTAAAAAAGTTGACAATAATAATAACCGTCTTGTTTAAAAAAAAAACTATATTATATCGGTGGGTTTACCGTGGCTGCGGTGTAGGTGCGGTGACCCTTAACAGCCACCGTATCATCTGCTGAAGTTGCCGCCAGCACATGCGCGCTTTGTTGTTTACAACCAAAACTTTCTTGAAGCTAAAGCTGAAATAATGGCCAAAGGAGGAGATGGCAGCACTCAGGAGGACATTTTTTATCCCTCAAAGAAGACAAAGTCAGAAGTACGGGCATCTTTTGGATATTTGAAGAATGCCGAGGGACAGTTGATAGAAGACGGCTATCCTGTTTGCAGCACGTGCAGAAAAAGTGTCTGTGAAAGGCAGCAACGCTTCAAATCTCATGACACATCTGCGTGACCATCACCCACAACTCTACAGTCAACGCAAGGCAAGCTAACGTTAGCGTTTCAGCTAAAATGCGTGATCCGAGGATTTGGGTTGAGGGAGAATGCAAAGAGTCGCTATATAAAGCAGCCGCAGCACCGCTACCTGCATATAAACCGTGTCGCGGACACCCCCATGTTGAAATGACGCTATGCATTACGGGGCTCCCAGGGGCAGATAAGAGTTGGTCTCTCTCCGAGAATAATTATGAATTTAACAATGATTACTGCCTGATGACATTTTCCCACATCTGCATACTTTGAGCTGTTTCTCTCTCTACCACCCTTTCCTGTGGTCTGGCTGTCAAAGCCCTGACACCATGATTCATAATGGAGCCAGTCAGAGAGGTCATGTAGGGTGTAAGATTTCCCAGGCTGTTTGAACTGGTGCCGTCGAAAGTCAGCCCGTTGCTCTGGAGGTAGCTTGCCTAAGAGTCGAGCTACATGTGACCCACAGTTAAGTTCTACTTGTCCTTCCAGGCCTAAGGTTTGCAACAGGCCTACTAGGGACTGCACCTGGAGGGAGAACTTCTGGAAGGCTATTGGATCACCTCGCCTTACTTCAGGACCGTCAAGAACACTTGCTATCTTTTTTAGGGCAAGCTGATGTGGTTGTCCAAATTTATCATGAAGAGCAGTCATGGTGTCGGTGTAAGGGTTGGGTGAGTTAAGATAAGTGTCAGCAATAAGCCTAGCTTCATCTAGTTTCAGATAGTCCACAAGAATTTGATATTTGAACAGCTCTGTAGCGTTAGAGGGCAGCAAGTTTTCGAGTGCAATACGAAGTCTTTCAAACTTGCAGGGGTCTGAATGAATAAACTTTGGTATGGTAGGTTTAGGCCCTCTATACACTACCTCAACTGTAGGGGAAATATCATCTCTGCAGGGGGGGTTGCTGTGTTTGACCGGCACCCGTAGCTGTAAATGAATGTTTGGTAGCTGAGGGTTTTCCAGAAAAGAAGTCTACGTTGGTTGAAGCCGGGTGGGAAGAGGATGGCAGGTAAGGTGCAAATGTAGGATGCATTACCTCGCTCTCCTTAGCAGAGCCTCAAACTGGGCCATATTCTGGGTAAGCTGGGCAGGCTTGTAGTGTGAAAGGGATGCACCATTGAAAAGGGAAGATCGCTGGATTGGTTGAAAATCTTGATCCATGGCTTTGAGGTCACATAAGCTACTGTTTTGGTCCTCAGGTTCTGGCCATGGTGGAGGGTCGGGCCACTCTTCTTCTTTCAGATCGGTGGTAGGAAAATGGCTCCTAGGTCTGTCCATGCTACCTTGTGATGGGGTATGAGGGGAATGTTGTGGTGCAGCTAACTGATTCATGTCCATTCGCAAAGTGTGTGTGGCTTTGATTAGAGCTTTAATTTCAGTCCTCGCTTCATTCAGCTCCTTCAAACCATCTTTCGACTCCCTCTGTGCTTGAAGCAGCTGTCTTCTCTCTTCATGGGTTGCTCTAAGTTCTGCATGCAGAGACAAGGCTGATGGGGATTCCTGAACGTAGGGAGTTATAGGTTCAAGGCAGGGATATCTATGTATATTACTCCACAGATAGCTTGATCACGACAGGAAGGGAGTACCGTGGGGGATATCTCTCTTACAGCTAGAGAGAGGAGTGAATGAAGCAGGTTGGCTTTGGCTGTGCTGAAGTCCAGGATCTAGTCTTCTGCTTAGGGGTGGCGGGAGATTCCACTGAGGTCTATTTCCAGGAGGAGCTCCAGCGTAACTTACTTCAAACCCGTCAAATCTGCTGGGTCGGCTAATCTGTCCTTTAGGTCTCACAGTAGGATGTATCTCTTTATCTGGATCCATATTGATAGCCCTTATCCAGCTCGAAGGACCGGTGTAAAGGAGGGGTTGGTTAAAGCTAGCTCTTTCCAGGTGAGGTGGCTATCAATAAGATTTACGGAAAGAAAGAGTAGTTATGACTTGAAAGGCAATAAAATATACATGATACCAAAACATAGGATAAATATAAAGGAACATTGTGTATCAATATGTGGAGTCAAAATGTGGAATAAATTAAGTACCGAAATCAAGATTACCAAAACAATATGTACCTTTAATAAACATATCAAAAATGAAATGCTTAGCTTATATAATGCTATGAGATAGACATATTGATGAAGTAGAGAGAATGAAAGGGAAAACACACATTGTATGTTCTACTTTGTTTCTTTTTAGCTGTTATTTTTTGTGTGTTTTATTTTGCATTATTTGTTTTCTCCTTTCATTAATATAAGAAGAATTGGCGAATCCGCTTGGCGTTTCCAGAACATGTTTGATTTTGGCCCTCTTTTATGTTGAATTTATTTCACAGTTTTCATTGGTTCACTCAATCCAAATGTGTTTCACACATTTTTCCTGTACCAGAATGTTTCATCTATCTTGTAATTTGTATTTTGTAATTTGAATTGTTTTTATTGTTGATTTATTCAATATATTTACTTACAACTGTACCATGTTCAGCGCTTTGGGCTTCCTGACAGGGTTGCGGAAGGCGCTTTATAAATAAAGCTTTGATTGATTGATTGATTGATTGATTGATTGATTGATTGATTGATTGGTTGAAGAAAAAAAATTGTGTACATATTTGTTTTCTCTCCATTTTTTGTCAAAGCTACAACAGTAAACCAGGTCAGAAAGTTTTTTTTAACTATAATAACTTTGTTGTCATTTGTATTTGTTTTGGTTAAGGGGAACAGAGAACATAAGTTTTGCTCCTTTCTGTTCCTTTTTCATGTTTTGTTTTCACAAACCTGTTTTGTTTTTGCTTTTAATTGCGAATAAATGAAAATAAACTTGGGAAACAAATAAATAAAAACGAGCTACAATGTAGCCACAGCTGCCCTGGGGCGCACTGACAGAGCCTGAGGTGAGGCTGCTGAGCTCAGGCACCACCGGTCCATCTGACCACCACCAGCTGGCAAGGTGAGTTAAGTGTCTTGCCCAAGGACATGACAGCAGCGTTCTCTGCTGGCATTTGGGATCGAATCCCACAATCCTCCAATCACTGGAAAACTCGCTCCACCGCTGCCCTGAATAAATACCATGCAACCTTATAAATGCCTTCTTTAGTTTTCCTTCTCATCCTTTAGTTTTTGCTTTCAAGCTACGGATCTCCAACTCTCTCCATCTGACTCTTTAGAATTAATTTGTTCTTGTATTTTTATTTATTTATTTATACTTTTAGATAATAGTATTATTACTGTATCTCTACTACCTTAATGATTGTTCAGCCACATGTGCACATACAGAAATAGATGGATAAGCTGCAGCACAGAACCAGCCAGATTTCACTGTGAATTTTAATCACCTCCAATCTGTGTCTCTGAATCCTTGCCCAGTGTGTGTGTGTGTGTGTGTGTGTGTGTGTGTGTGTGTGTGTGTGTGTGTGTGTGTGTGTGTGTGTGTGTGTGTGTGTGTGTGTGTGTGCACATGAAAGGTGGCTCATTCTAAATTTTCGGTTTGTGACATCACAAATGATGGCTTTTTGAAATGTCTTGTTTTAGGCACATAATTAATAAAACCAAACAGACAGAAAATGGATGGGTTTTTTTCTACATTTGGAGTGTTTATCAATGCAGTAGAGACCCACAACAGGATGTAAAAGGTGGATTTTGCAAATGACCTCCCCTTTGATAACTGCTAAAGATTCACAGAATGTGATGATATAGATCAATCCCCTAAAGAAGTACTATAATTGTAGCTCCTCCTTTGTACATGGGCTTTAAATAATTCATACAAATGGTTTCATTATGCAATTCCAACAAAAGAAAAAAAACATAACTACTGCTGACTCAAACATCTTATCTAAATTATTTATGGAAGAAAATAATAAATAAACAAAAGACAAACCACCAGAAATCACTGGATGTGTAAAGGTATATGTAATGATCAGACTGAACTGAGGTGAGGACAAGCAGTGTGTTAAAATACGAGGCTGTTTACGTCAGTAACAATGATGTTTGCAACATTTCTTCAGAGCAAACAAAAAGAAAAGGTTTGCACTTTTAAAACTGGTACAAAACTGCCACCTATTGAGGAAAACATGATACTGTCATCACTGATGTTTTTCATTCTTCAAAAAAATTACAACTACTACAACAGTTGCAGCACACGTATGACCTTTTTTCCAACAAAAAGACCACATTGATTATAGAATTAATCCTTTCTATATATTCAATTTTATTGGCTTTTTAGCAAAAGTCCAAGTTTAACCTAAAAGCAGTAAACTCTCCTCCATCCCCTGAGTCTAGCCTCGGGAGTTGCTGAATCGGTGCCATTCATTCCTAAACTGTCCCGTGTGTGTGTGTGTGTGTGTGTGTGTGTGTGTGTGTGTGTGTGTGTGTGTGTGTGTGTGTGTGTGTGTGTGTGTGTGTGTGTGTGTGTGTGTGTGTGTGTGTGTGTGTGTGTGTGTTGCTGACCCCTGTTTTTGTTCACGTGGATAATTTAATTGACAGCCAGCTCTCATCAGGTCTGAAATAGGTCGGTTTTCCGACCAGGGAACAGAAATAAGATGGTTGTTGTGCTGGATGTTTTTAAAAAGTGAAGAATTTATTTAATTTTTTTGCTTGGACATGTTTTTGACTTTGGAAAAAATTGTTGACAGAAGACAGTTTCTTAAGGATAAACATCATCTGTAAAAAGGTTTAGAGATTAGTGATGGGAGCTAATTCATCTCTCTGCTGCTGTCACTTCTATCTGAAGCACAACAAAGAGGAAAAGAGAGCTATTTTGCGGTGAGAGGAGCAGATTATGCAAATAATCTATCTCCACCCTTCTTTTTTAAACAAAATCAGCTTGATGGCATTTAAATCACGCACTGTTCACGTTTCCTTTCGTCTCCCCAGAATGCGCAAGACTCCATCTTCCACATTCCCTGAACGTTTGTCAAGTGAGTCCAGTGACAGTGAGACAGAAGAGAGCCTCTTTGGACCTTCAGCTTCAGGAAGAAGTCCACTGAAGGACAACCACAACCAGAGCAGAACAGCTGATCCGTCATTCACCCCAAACAGAGCCGACATCTCCTGCTTCAGGCGCGGATCAGACCGAGAGCTGCAGGCTTTCATCAGCATGAGAAACCAGGCTGACAAGGCTACAGAGGTAATAACAAATACACCACAAGATGAAATAAACATGTATATTTTCATGGCTTTTAAATAGTAAAAATGACTTGTGTAAAACTACATTAGTTGGCAATAATCTACACAAAAATGCATGAACCGAAAGGGGAAAAAAGTAAAATTACTGTGTTTTTAAGTGAAATTAAAGGAGTTTTGTGCAATCATTTATTAGAAATCTGCCAGCTAGCATATAAAGAAGATTTTTGAAGGCCAAGATGGTGCCAGAAATCCTGTGTCTTGTACAGATCTGGGACCATCTAACGCAATAAACCAATCCAAGCTGAGGACACAGGTGACTCAATGAACTCTTTGATTCTTCTTCATGCAGATCAGCAAACAAACTCGACCCGAATTCCACGTAAACTTAATATGGAAATTATGTCCTTTAAGAAAACTGACAAACTGCAACGTGGAGATAGACGTAGTTTGAATTCATGGTTTGTTCTTAAAGTTAAATATTGGGAAATTATCACTTTGCAAGAGCATAAAGTTGTTTTGCATCCATTTACTGTGTTGTGTTGCAGCTTCAGTGACCATAGCAACATAGCAATGCTCTGTTTACCCACAGATTCAGAAACAATGCGGATGTTTCCTCAAAACGCTGTGGCTGAACTGATATCCCATCTAATCTTCCACGGAGGAGCTCAGATATGTCTGTTTCTGAGATGAGAGTTATGGGCCATTCCCATCTGTCCCGGGTCGGCCCGGGCCGGGTAGCCCCAGTCGGCCCCAGCCTGGCCCGGATGATTCCACACATCCTTGTCTTAAGCTCATGTGGGCTGATTCTGCCCACCAATCAGAGGCTTGCTCCAATGGAAGGTGTGAATTTGCTGTCAGCAGTGGGTGTGTTGGCCCTGGTCGGCCTGAAGCAGACCCCCTCGAGAAGAGGGCTGAGAATGAGCCTTGGTTGGCCCGGAAAGATACCAGGCCACCCAGATATGTAAACAACCTACGCTGCCCGGCCCGGGCCGACCCGGTACAGATGCGAATGGCCCATTAGGTGAACATGTGACGGTGACTTATTGAAAGTGGCAGGCTGCAGGACACAGTGGGTGCGTTGTTTTAAAGAAAATAACTCGGAGGAAGATGCAGGACAACATCCTGAACATTAACAGAGAAGAACAGGACAATAAAAAAACATAGTCTGCTTTATTTTAGCCGTCAAAAGTGAAGTGATTCTGTCTCGTGACCAGAGAATTGACATTTTTTTTTACCTGCATTTTTTTCCTTTACAGCCTCAGAGCAGCTCAGTTTTAGTTTATCTTAACATGTTTTTTCCACGAGCATTACGGCAAAGAGATCCATCTTCTCCAGAAGATTAACTCTGCTGAGATAACTAACTGTTAGGCATGGGGTCTTTGTACTAAATAACAACAATAATAATGTGAATCCACTTTTGTTGGTCTTCAGGAGTGGGAGAAGCTGAACTATGACATCCACACACTGTGCTACACCAGACGGGAGGTCAGATCTCGATGGAAGAAGATCCTGCTGCAGCTGGGTTCGGGATTTTCTGTTCCAAACGTCTTCAGGTGATCCCTCTCTTTACTTCTCTCTCTCTCTTTGTGTTTCTGTAGGTTTTCAGTGCGAGGTGGATTCCTTGCTGTGTGTGAACCGACAGAGCCGGTTCAGTCCGGATCAGGAGCATCTTAACAAAGCCACTGATTTGCTGAAACAGCTGCTGGACCACACCTCTTTGTTCCCCACTGGGACTGAACATCACAACAGATATCTGCAGGTCATGGTGTGGACACTGTTTTAGTGTTTTAACAAAACATGATCATGTTTGTGAGAATAAATAAAGACTAAAGGGTGGAAGTTTCAAAATAAAACCAAAGACATTATGTCACTTTAGCAATTACAATGAGCAGATCACGACAGAGGAATTTCATCATACAGTAGGAGCAACTATTCGGTTTGATTCAGATTTGTGAGCTACATTTTTTTTATTTATAAACACTACCCGGCCAAAAAAAATTGAAAACCAAGAACAATCACCAGCAAAAAGAAGTCATTCACTCTAAAAATTTGTTGGACCACCTTTGGCTTTGATTTCGACACACATTCACTCTGGCGTTGTACCGATAAGCTTCTGCAATGCCACCAGATTTACTTCCATCCAGTGTTGCATTAATGTTTCACCAAGATCTTGCACTGATGATGGTGGAGTCTGACCGCTGGAAGAAGCCTTCTCCAGCACATCCCAAAGATTCTCAATAGGGTTAGGTTTGGACTCCACGTGTGAAAATGATGTCTTCATGCTCTCTGAACCACTCTTTCACTATTTGAGCCTGATGAATCCTGGCATTGTCATCGTGGAATACGCCCGTGCCATCAGGGAAGATGGAATAACCTGGTCATTCAGGATATTCAGGTAGTCAGCTGACCTTGTTCTTGGAGCACATCCTGTTGCTGAACCTAGACCTGACCAACCGCAACAAGCCCAGATCATAACACTGCCTCCACAGGCTTGTACAGTAGACACTAGGAATGATGGGTGCATCACTTCATCTGCCTCTCTTCTTACCCTGATGCACCATCACTCTGGAACAGGGTCCATCTGGACTCATCAGACCTGTTTTTAATGAAGCGTTGGACAGTTTTTAACCCAGTGTTAGTCGTTTCTGCATCTCCTTAGATGTTTTCTCTGCTTGATGCCAATGATCCGACCCTTCTCACACAAACTAACACCTTTTCCACGTCTTTCTACACGGTTGCTTAAGAAATGAGAAGCAACTCGTTGCACTAGTTGGGTTAAATAACTTGTTCCAGCTGAAATATAATCACCCATACAGTAATAATCCAATTGGAGGCTCATGCCAGTTTGATAAGTTAAATTCAGGTGGCAACTTTTTTTTATGGGCAGTGCAGGATTAAATAAAAAATATATTTTCTGCTTTAACCCACTGTTAGTCTACTTCCTGTTTTCATCCTTATTACATATCATCATCATCATCATCATTATTATTGTTATTATTATTATTATTATTATTATTTCAAATCCATATTTTGCTACAAAGGTGTACGGTCATTCCTTCCTTCATCCACTCACTGATTGACTGTTGATCTGAATTACTTGAAAATTTTTTGGACATACATAAAACTTCCTAAATATTAAATATGAAACAGCTTAGCGTTTCAACACAATAAACAAAAAACACATCGCTTTTTTACATGTCTAATTTTCCCGTGTGCTTCCCTCAGGATCGCCTGGTTTCTCTGGACAGTGCCGAGGAATTCATCAGACTGGCCAGAGAGAAATATCCAAAAAAAGAAGGATGAGAGATGAAATGGTGAAAACAGCATTTAGTAAAATTTTTGAAACTGGACACCCCTTTGGCACATAATCACTCCATCAATCACTTCAATGTAATTTTTTTTTCTAGAAATGCTTCATGTCTTGTTTTCAGTCATTTTTTGTTTTCTTCATTATTTTACATTAAAACACAGACAGCAATTTTAGGTTATTTATTCTGCTTAAATCTAACATATATCCCTGTTACACTTCTGTGGTGACATTTAATGTTCTTCCAATATTTGCATTTTTTGCTGATAATCAGACATAAATTATCACTAACTAATTCCCGCAATTTTTCTTACACATTTTCTTAGACGGTTATGATTTACATACTTCACATAAGGCAGTAACTGTTCGGCATTTCTTTGGACATGTAAAGCCACTGTCTCCCAGCAGGTGGCAGCAGATTACCAGAACAATGCAGCCTCCTTTGTCTTATTTGGTTAAAAAATGCATTAAACATTTTCAAGAAAGGTGGAATTAACCAGATGACAGAGCTTGTAGTGTTTTTGTTTCTTTTTAAATATCAAAAGAACAAGAGCATAAAATGCACATTGATGCAGTTTATCCATGGGAAATGAAGCTTCCTTTTCTTTCAGATGTGTGTCAGATGTGGATCAAAAACTTTTAATGTGGCTTTTATTTTTATCAAATCCATTCTTTCAATAACCATTTGTGATTCAGAGTTAAATGCATGAGTCTTTGACAAATGACGTCACAACGTTCATGCATTGTGGCTTGATGTGCACATGCATGTGTTCAGAAAAAGAAGGTTAAGTCCGACCCAGATACTGTTCTCTCCAAGGATCCCTTCCCGGGTTTGGGAAACAGATGTGGAACCGAGAGAGGGGAAGAGCTGGGGGAGGGGAGCTGAGAGGAATCGAACCGCTGCACCTTTTTCTCATTAAACCTTTGTGTCAGTGTGTGTGTGTGTGTGTGTGTGTGTGTGTGTGTGTGTGTGTGTGTGTGTGTGTGTGTGTGTGTGTGTTTGAGAGTGAGAGAGAGAGAGAGATAGAGGGATAGAAGCTGACAT